AAATTAAATCAGGGACTGAAGCTTCACACAGCCCTGTCATCTAGTCTTACTTGCTTATAGATCCATCCAGGGTATTAACCCACCATATTGCAATGTGAGCAATGTTTAGCTGGCAGCCAAGTCCTTTGGATTCCATTCCAGGATAGAGTCCTTCCTCCTATGAGAGTGCCCTACCTTCTTTGTTTCTAGATATATAACCTTGCATTTGCCTATATTAAAAATCCTGTTGTTGGAATGAGCTCAATTTACCAACAATCACTTTATATAATTAACTATCCTGGTCTTTATCTAACATGAGACACTTGGGGTCTGATTATCAGGGGGTTTGGCTCTGGCAGCAGTCCATCATTGCACTCAGAGTTGTGAAGGATCAGCACCTTCACACAGTATCCTCATGATGTCTCAGCTTGTATAGCTAAAAACTCATCCGTTTCCTCCATATTAGTAATGTAGTATTACACATCTATCAGAACCAGAAAAAAAAACATCCTCTTCCATGGCTGGACCTGAGGGCATAATTTGACCCGCTGTCCTCCACATTTGCTTGAACTTCATCTAATCATTTACTCTCTATTTGCAGATATGAATCCAGGGTCAAGAGCCTCAGTTATGCAGGAACCATGTGCATATAGAACTATGTCCTTTTAAATATTTATCTGTATCTTCAGATGCAAACTCAAATTACTGGTTGTAGCTCAGAACAGAGCAGAGAAGTAATCTCAGGTTGAAAACAAAATGGAGTCATTAGCCAGAGCACTCTTTCTTGCACTGCTGCTCTGCTCCAATGCCCAAAGCCAAATGAATGTAACATCTGCAGACTGTGCTGCTGTGGAAACGGATGCAGGAGTGGCCCTGGACTTGATCAATAAGCACCGCACGGACGGCTATCTTTTTAGTCTGTTTCGGGTGGCTGATGCCCATGAGCAACATACCGTAAGTATTAATATAAAGGCTGATTTGCATACTACTGTGGTTTAAAAATGATGGGCCGCATCCTCAGCTGTTATAAACTGGTGTCGCTCTGTTGCCTTCTGTGGAGTTATGCCAATATAAATCAATGAACGTACGCTGATTTACACCAGCTGAAGATCTCAGTCTAGATTCATTTTGATGTGGTCTATTATCTGGGAGCCTGATTCTGCAAGACACTGAGTACCTTCCATTCTCATTGACTTCAGCAGGACATAAGGAAAAGAGCCATCCCCTTAACAGCTCTGTAAAATGTCTGAATTTAATCTGCAATTAGGCAATCAGTCACCAGCTCTATGTATTTTACACTCCTAGAGCTTCTTGTATCTGAGGCTCTCTAGCCCATTAAGTTAATTGACTCAAAGCACCCGTGAGAGGCAGGTTTTATATTATCATCTGCATTTGGAGATAGCAGTGGGAACTGAAGCAAAGAGAGGTGAAATGTGAGCCAGCAAGACAGTAGCAGAGCTGGATAGAAAGCCCAGATCAATCAGCTACTACACCTGTGCCTGAACTACCTGGCCATCCTTTCTGCATGCTTGGTTGAAGGTCATAGCAATCAGTGACAGACTAATCCTGGGGTCTAATTCCTTTGCTGTCACCAAGGCTAGGCACAGACATTACACGTAAACTGGTTTATATGATCAGAAACTGATTTAAACTTGTAACAGAACAGATGTTCAGTGCACATAAACCAGTTTCAAAATGACTGAAACCAATTTGAGATAAACCTGGTTGAATGTAGTATCAGACTTAACCGATTTGGGCCAAACCAATTTATGCAATGTCTGTCCCAGATCCTTTGCTGGTTTAAGTTAAACCAGAATCCCCCAGCAGCCCAACATGCTCTTGGAGCTGGGCAGGGCTCGCTGCTCCACAGCAAAGCGGGCTCCTCCCCTCTGTTCCCTGGCTGCAGCTCCAGCAGAGACTGCAGGCATCTGCCTGGCTTCCCCCTGCTCCTCCCCTCCCCCTCCCCACCCCCGGTCACCTCACCACTCTCTGCTAAGCAGGGATCCCCATCCCCTCTACCTTACACAGACACCTTTCAGCATTAGCTAGCAGATCACATGCTGGCTACAGTCCGTGCTGTGGCACCTGGGACAAAGGCAGAATCAACAGATAGCTGGTAATGTCCCTCTGTTATTTTCTTACGGGGTGATACACACTGAGTTAGGGATGGTAAATACTGTGTTATCAATTTCCTGCTGGGCAGGTCAGGAGGGAGAGGGGGAACCACTCCCTAACCAGAGCAGCCTGGCCACACCCACCTCAGCTCAGCACTGACGAGGGGAAGGGAGGGCTTCTCTAGCACCCCTTGGCATCTAGTCTGAGCCACTGCAGGCATATTCCTGTATTTCTGGGATGTCTTTAGGGTTACAAAGTAATTCAGCCAAGCCAGGTTAGACTAACCTGCGAAGACTGAATCAATTTAGGCTCAGGCTTTTTTAATGTCTGTCTCTAGACTGGAAGTCTAGTTACTTACCTCAAGTGGAAGAGATCTGTCTGTAGAATGGGCTGGATACAGAACAGAGATATTTAGGTAAGAAAACCAATGTTTTGAGGGATAAAGCCCAAAAGGAGGAAAGTGTAACAGCCCCTTCCTCACTCATTGATTCCCTGGATGCTAGAAAAGCCCCTAATAAGAAATCTAGGAAGATCTAGATTGTCTGCGGTGTGGACAGATATTTGGCTGGGGTTGGACAGATATTTGGCTGGGGTGTTATGACCCTGGCACTCATTCCTGCCTGGGGCAGGGGGTCGGACCTGATGATCTGTTTAGGTCCCTTCTGACCCTAAGCACTATGAAACTATCTGTTGAGGGAGGTGGGATGGTCACTTAGGAAAAAAAAAAGACGGTTTCCTTCAGATAAAATTTGACAGAAACAAATGCACCTTCTACTCTGTTCTTTTCTTCCAGGGGAATTCGTCATTCCTGTACTTAACTTTGGATGTACTGGAAACTATGTGCTCTGTTTTATCTGGGAAACACTGGGAATCTTGTACATTTCCCAATCTCTATTCATTGGCAAGTAACAGGATTTCTTCAGTGCTGAATGTCAACCATGCCTCAACACAAACACCCAGTTCATATACAAATCCCTACATAGAAACCAAGTATTAATACTTGCCTGCATATAATGAGATATATTACCTTTTTGTAATGCCAGAGAAAATTTAATGGACAGGGAAAGGGTCAACTTACCTACCTTGTCAGTTAAATGCAGATTCATTCAACCTGTTTGGCAAAACTGGGACTGCACTGTATATCCACAGCTTGTAATTCATTTGGTTTGGGAACACTAGTCGTTCAAAGATAATGTACAAGGAACATAGAGCATAACCCCAGTAAGTTAGGCAGAAAGTTGAAGGGTTAGTTTGTCAGAGCTCTTTTTCAATGCATCTGTGATGATAATGTGGGAAGCACTGCCAGTGTAAATGCTTGGTCTGTGGTGACATCAATATGCAAATGCCAAGCAGAAATACATTGCCTTTACCTCAGACCCAGATGGTGCAATCTGGGATGAAAGCCAGCTGGCTGAAACTTAATTGAGACAAGGGACTGGTAAGATGGGTCTAATAAGGATAGCATCAAGATTGTGTGTCAGGGTTGGTGCCTGCCCTTTTATTTTGGAGAAACAAGTTTTTGTTAATGAGCTCTGCAGTTGCTGGATGCTCCTGGCATTGCAACTACTCCCCAGTGGGTGGAAGCATCTTCCATCCAAGAACAGTTAGAGATAAGCTAGAAAGGCAGCTTTGGTTTTGCAAAACCTTTTTGGTTGTTCAAACCAGAATTAAAACCAGGGTTTCCTTGGAAAAAAATCCATTTCTGTGAACCACCAAATTCTAGTGGGGATCAAATTAAAGGTTCTGGTTATGACAACATTTGTTATTCTTCAAGTCACTGTCTATAAAAAAAGAGGGCTAAATTCTGCATTCAGTTATCTGAGTCACTGCCACAAAGTCAATGTGAAAGCCATAGACTCTTTTGAATGGTATTGTGTGCCTTGTTCTAGTGCAGGGGTGGCCAGCCTGCAGCACGGGCACCACAAGTGGCACAGGGAACCTCTATGTGTGGCGGGAGGCAGATCAAGGAGGGGACAAAGCAGCACAGCAGCAGATAGGGCAGGAAGCAGAAAACAGAACAGTAGATCAGGACTGGGAGCAGACAGCAGAGCAGCAGATCAGGCAGAGCATAAGTGATAGAAACTGTAAGTAGCACTTAAAGTTTCTACCACTGGAGAGTGGCACTTGGGAACAGTGCGGGGCTAATTTGTGGCAGGCCTGCCAAAAAAAGTTGCCCCCCTGTTCTAGAGTATTACATAGAGTCAATAATCTTTTTCTTCTTCTTCTCAGGTCTTTGGGCAATGTAAAGTTATCATGTATACAAACAAAGAGTTCAAGAAAAATTGGCTCTATGGGTACAACTGCACTACGAGTTCAGGTAAAATAACCAGCTGAACAAGTTAGCATATTGCTGATAAGCCATTTCCAGTGCTGAAACACAAGCAGGTGTGCCACTAATGCATGGTAACTGTGACAGATTAGTTCATCTGTGCATGATTCATATCTGGTTTAGAGCAAAATTGATGGTAAGAATGAATTTTAAAACTATAAAAGCCCTGAAATTTTAAAAGCAAACTGTGTCAAATTGATTAAGCTACCAAAACATGGGCATGGAGACCAGGAGAAGAGCTAGATGGACTTAAGGAGGGGAGTTATTTGAGGTGATACAATTTTAAAATAGTACAAAACAATATAAGAATAGAAATCCACTGAGCTTTGGGGAAGTTTTTTATTTTCAAACAGTAGAAGCCAGCTCATGTATGTGAGATGAAGGGTTGGGTGGGTCCTCTACAAGAAGCCTTTAGTGTTTTCATGCTATAACAGATATATGCTAAAACTATACAGATGTACATTGCCATCCCTGACCACGGTAACGTAATAAAAAAGTGGTAGACTAGCAACCTTGTTTTCACAGTTCCTTACAAGTTAACCGAGTGCAAACACTGCTCGGTACGAGTTGAATTCTTAGAAGACGTTGAGGCATACAGAGGGGAAGCTGAGCGAGCCTTGGTGAAATACAATGATGAGAGTAACCACACTAAGTACTTCAAGGTGGATAAAGTGGAAAAAGCAATAAGACTGGTAGGTGATTTCCTATCTTCAAACTAACACAGGGCAAAATATTGTGAGGTGCTCAAAAACCACAAGCTTCCAAGGGAGCTAAAGACACCTTGGTTGTTTGCGAACATGCCACGCAGCTCATCTTTTATATTTTAAGTCCAGATTCTCCAAATACTTACACGTGCTCTTAGCTTGAAGCAGATGGACAGACCCAAAATCAACCGGGTTATGCACTGAGAATCATAGTCATACAAAAAAAGTACTGGAAGGGACCTTCAGTGGTCATCTAATCCAGCCCCCAAGACCTTGGCATTAGGGTGCCAGCAAGCTAACCACTAAACTGACTGCAGCAGCAGGACTAAAGTTAACTTGTTTGAAGTTATGCAGACATATGCATTTGCAAGATCACAACCTTGTACGTGGATTTCCCTTTGTCAGAGATACATCTTACAGCTGAACAGG